ACTGAGAATTGTTCACAATATGTTAAATAGAGCAAAGTAAAAAACTAATCTCAATTTTATTTTTTACAAAAGTATGTGCAAATATATGAGAAAATGCTCCAAAATATTACTATTATTTTGGGAAGGTGGAATCCTAAGTAATTTTATTTTATACTTTACTATATTTTTCTAAAAAAGAATTTATTCTTTCTGTAACTAGGGAAAAATTCTTCTAGTTAATCTTACTGTTTGAAAAAGGTAGAGGGCCCCTTGTGGCAGCACGGCAGGCAGCGTGTCTGATGGGTGGCGAGTCTGTCTGCGGCTCAGCAGGTGCTGTGCCCCCTGGTCTGAGGAGGGCAGCGAATCCCAGGGCATTGGCCCAGGCAAGAGACAGCAGTGGTTCTTACTTGCCACCCCTTAGGAAAGTTACCCAAATAGAGACATGGGTCAAAGTATTGGTGTTACTTGTGACTAGGAACTAATAGGCATGAGATTTTTATTAAAGTTTGTCAGAATAAGAGATTACAGTTCACGTGTTATATTTGAAATGTTAATTACTTCTGAAAGAGACCGGGAGGATGACATGCTGCTTTGCTGATCCATCATCCTCAGCATCACTGCTCGAAGGACAGAGGACAGTAACTATCCCAGAGTTTCATCTGGTTACTATGTCTGGCCCTGGAAGCTCACTGTCAACTTGGCCAAGCCTCAGGTTCTAGAACCTCGGACAAGAGGAGCTCTAAGAGCGAGCCAGAGCCTTTTGGGGCCATCCTCCAGTGTTATCTACGTATACATGCGTGACGACCATCCTTCCCTTTAAGATTGTAGCCTCTGATTGCTCATGTGTCGTGTACTCTTTGATTCAGTTCCCTCTGCCTGTTTCCCTTTAGAAACAAATCCTTTTCCCTCCACTTAAATGGTGACGTTGAGGTTCTGTCCTCAGCCTTCTCTAACTCCACACCCTGGCATGTTTGCGTGAGGAGCTTTTTCCAATGACATCTGCCTGTCCTCGGAGATTGTGGTAAGTCTCAGGGGCCTTCTCAGAGTCAGGGTGGTCTGATGATAACGCTGTTCTTCCTCACTTAGGTGTTAAACAAATTGTAAATTAGGACAAGGTGTCAGTGGATCGAGCCCAAAGCTTCATCTTTACCACTGTGAAGACTAGCTGATACTCTTGCTTAGGGTGAGAATGACAGCAGTGTTGGGCCGGGGCAGGCCTTCCCTCCTGTCCAGCTTGGAGGGCGTGGAGGAGAGGGGAGTTCTTGTGCTCTGATGTCAGTCTCCCTCCCAAGAGGAAGACAGGAGGAACTGACTCCAACATGCCCAGTTCATCCTTCCCAAATGTACCAATCAGATGCACTCCTTTCCTCTGGCAGAGGGAATCTAAGGGTAGAGAGAGGCAGGAGTGTGATGCTAAAGGCCGTCTAGTCACGGAAGGAGACCTTAAGAATGGGGCACAGCTTTCCAAGTGTGCGTTTAAGCCATAGCCAATGCCTGCCTCCTCCCCGAGACTTGGGTGTCCACCTGGGAAATGTATCCAGACCTCGAGGTGTTGGGGTGACTGGAGTATATGCTTCAGCACATCTTCCTGGGGGGTCCTCACACAGCCACCCTGCTCAGCCTTTGAACACCACTGCTCCCATCTTCCTGGACGCTGCCTCCTGACGCTAATGACTCCCAGACCTTGTCTCCATCTCAGAGGCTCTGCTGACCTCCAGACCCTTTTGCACGCTACCTGTCAGACGCCTCTTCCTGGACCTTCGGCAGGGATCCGAAACTCACTGTTGCCCAAACTGAACCAGTGTTCTCACTGTCCACTTTGCACTGGGAGTCCCAGCCGAGTTTCGGCCTCTTCTGTGAAAGCGTCCGTGACCTCCCGAAGCCGCTTGCCGGCCATTCTCTGGGGTCCTACCCTCTGTGGAGGTGTGCTCTTGTCAGTGTGGCACTTCTGCTGACCCGCCTCCCCACCTGCCTGTGAACTGCTGGAGGCCTATCCTTTTGTCTTCCTACCTCCAGTGGCCAGGCCGGCATTTGACACCATAGGCACCCAATGGATGTTTGCTGAATGAGTGAAAATGAGCCATCAGGCAGGTGGGCTTGGTTGGGCTTCCCAGGCATGGAGATTTCTGCATATGGCCTGAGGTTCTCCTTCAGCAAGTGCTCATGGTTCCCTGTGGCCATCAAAGAATCACAGGTAATTTCTGCCATTTCTAGCAACTCTTGATATATAATTAACATTCTGTGAGGTGACCACTGCTGCAATTTACAAAGGTTCTGGAAAGATGGTCATAATTGCAATTACATGTGAGCCCACGGGGTGCCGCTGTTGTCGCTGCCAACGGAAGATGATGGCCCAGCTTTGGGCTCCGTGCCTTCTGCCCTGGAGATCAGTCTGTCTCCTTCCTTTTGACCTCCCTGCTCCCTCCCCCAACACCTATGACTCCTAGTTTGGAATCCCTACATTCAGGGTTTGGTTTAACCTCTAACTGTCAAGCCTTGGGGAAAGACAAGGAAATTCCTCATCCGACTCAGGCCCCAATCCTTTTTGTTCTGTTTGAGGTTCTGTTTTGTTCTAGCAGGTGGAGATGGAGAACAGTTGATCACCCTTGCTTAGTCTGAAATTCCTTACTTAAAATCAGACTTAATTCCTCACGTTTTCTTTATAAAAGCAGGCAGGATCAACTTGTCGCCCTTTCTTCCCAGGCTTTGTTTCCAGGTTCTCAATCACCGATTATCAACCTTCCTTCTCTGAACCTTCCTCCCAGGCCCGTGGCACAGTGCTCCTTCCTCTGGAGACCACCGTTGTGGACAGTCTGACAGCCGCCGGACAGGAAGAGACTGAGGTCAGGAAGCTTGGGGCCTACTCTGGCCCTGTTACCATTTGGCTGCCTGAACGTCTCCTCATTCTGTGCCTTAGTTTCCCCAGTGTCTGGTCAGCTCCAGGTGCTTCAAAGACTAGTGTTTCCAAAAAGGCTGGTGGTGGGATGATGGAATGCAGGTGACTTTTTCCTTTTTTCATAATATACTTCAGGGTTGTTTCACTGTTTTTTCAATAATAAAGGATGATATGCTATAAAAACATTTAAGGGGGTGACAATTAATTAACCCAAGAACAGGACTACGTTTTCCTAGTATGAGAACTTAACCATATTCTACATGTCTCACCAGTCCCCCTCCACGCCCCTACTAAGCATCCGGAGGATCCTGCTCCCGTTTCTTTTAGTCTAGCTGTTTTGTCTCATTCAGCTAACTGTGGTTTATTGTCCGTTCCTTTTCTCCACCAGCTAATTTAATGCTCCTCCGAGCAGTCCTCCCGACAGGAATCATCCATAAAAATGAGGTAGTGAATACCCATTCACCTGCAAGGGAAGGAGAACAAACTCTCTTCTGGGCCAGGCCTGAAGTGGCCCATTCACTACAGTCCGCACGAGTCCCTACAGCTCCCTGCGACAGTCTCACTGTCCCCACGTGAGGAGGCTGGCGCTCGGAGCCCAGTTCCGCCCGACCCAGGAGTCATGCCCTCAGGAGCACTGCAAGGCAGGGGGCAGACGTGGTCTCCCCAGGGACAGGGGAGTAACGCATCCAAACACAGCGCTGGCTCCCCTTCCAGCGCCCTTTCTCCTGCCTCGCTTTGTAACTGAATCGGCTCATTGATGCCATAAATTGCACTACTTTCTGAACGATGGAATTGTTTTTAATTTTTATTGTGCAACTTATTCTGAGGAGACAGGATTTGTTTTAAAAATTGCCTTGTTGAAAACGAATGAATGTGTTTACATATTTGCTCAAAAGGTCAGTGCTTTTGGAAAGGCAGAAAATGAAGAGAACTTGTCTCCAGCGCTCTTGCTCCTCTGCCAGCCTGTGCTGCATGCAGACTTTGCCCCTCTGGGTGGCGCCCAGACGCTGGGAAGGCCCGTCGCAGGGGCTCCTCAGCACCACACAGCTCTCTTACGCAGTGATCCCGTGACAAAGTCACAGTAAGTGCCAGGGACGCAGGCGTTACCCTTGTCTGAGGAGTATTTGCATTTTTAAAGGATGAGACTGATGAACTCAGGAGAGACTCTCAGGTGGCCTGGTTGGGGAGCCCTCCACCAGAGTCCCCCAAGGTGACCCAGCCTCTGCCTGAGCTCACCATCCCTGCGAGGGAACAGAGGGGCTGGGCAGAGGGGCAGTGGGCCGGGCCTCTCTCTGCACAGTGCTGGTGACAGGGCTGGAGCTTAGTCACTCAAAGGCTCAGTGGGTGTGACCTTTGTCCCACTTTGCTCCAGGTCTCTGCCACCGCCACCCTGGCTGCTGGGGCTGTGCTGGGCCAAGATGGCAGCCCTTCTCCCAGCATACGGCTTGCCAATGGGCACTGTGTTGTGCCATTATTTTTCTTATAAATAAATTGAGGAAACTGAACTTCTTGAATCTATGGTTTTATCAAAAGTAGGGAAATGAAAGGCCTAAAATGCCATCTTAAAAAAGAGGGCAAATTTCTTCGTGGAGATGAAGGACTTTTTCCACCCGGCCTGTTTTCCTCCTCTGTTACCTTCCTGGTTCCGAAAGGCAACTGAGCTTCAGAGGCTGGAGAAGCTTCCTTCAGAAGCTCCCAAAGCTCAAGCAGGTGTGTTTTGCTTTTTGCTTTTTGGCTGCTTGAGCCAAGAAGACAAGATGTGCATTCTCCTGCTAGGTCCTTAGTCCCAACCATGTGACGCGACCCCCTCCTCCGCTGCAACGTGGCAGAGGCCAGGCAGCAGGGGTCCTCCCTTCACAGGAGCCGCGTCCAGGACAAACGCTCTTGTCAGACAGCCCTCCACCGAAGGGTCAGTGTGTGTGAGCACAGGGGTTCTGGGTGCTGGGCTGTGGGGGCCAGTCTTGCCTTTTCTTGCTCCTGTGTGTTTTCTGCACAAACAGGTAACAGTAAACTAAGAACAGAAAGGTATGTGAAAAATAAAAGTAACCAAATTATATAGCTTTTATTTTTGTGGGAACTGAACAAAAAACATTATATAGATATTTAGAAAAAGACTTCAGAAGCAAACTTTTGAGGGGCATTTTAATTATAAATTTAATATGGTTGATTAATGAAAAATCACAATGAAGTACCGAGAAAATGTTTGTCGATATAAAAATTTTAGCAGCATTTCCACAGTTTCAGGCTCTAGCATTAGCCGTGCTCCCTCCCTCCCGCTGTCAGAAAAGAGGCCCATGGGGCCACAGCAGAGCATCGGGACGTTCAGCTTAGTAAAGGCCTCAAGGAAATCCTCAAATCCACTGTACCGCCCAATATTTCCCCCTCCCCCCCCGAAGTTTCTAGAGGGTCAAAGCTCTCGCCTCGCCTTTGAGACAGGAATTCCGCTCCTCAGGCTGCAGGGGAGGATGGGGCGGCAGTATGCACCGGACTTGAAATGTAGTGCTCGATCACACGTCCTCACGTCTGTACATTCTCTGACGACACAAAGGGCCACGCGCGAGGCCGCCGGGCTCTGGCCTGGGGCGGCAGTGGCGGGGCAGTGGGGTGGAGAAGCCACCGTGCAACATGCCCACGGCGCGGGCTGGTGCCTCACCACCACACTGTTTTGGGGCAGGTCAGGGCATGGTGGTCTCGCCACATCCCAGGGTAAGGGTGCGATTAATGAGAAGGGGAGACAGACAATATGAAACATAATACTGGCAAACTATTCCCCCGCCTCTTTGGTACTTTCCAAAAGTCTCTGATCACAAAAGCATAAGAGAAGCACACCATTACAAAATTACAGTTTGAAGTATTTACAGAAGCCATTATGATATATTACACATCAATACACAGTATGTGAACAAATTTCCCAGTGAAAGCACTTGTGAACTCTGGTTCCAGTATTACTCAAGAGCACACTGACGTACATACACCTTCCCAAATCTGTATCATCCATCCTGTATCTCACTTATCTTACAGCAATATTAAAGAGGAAAAATATCATTTTCCCATCCATACTTTCCTTTTAAAAGGTTCTTAAAATCTGCCACTGAAATCATTATGTACAAAGATTTCTGAATATTGGGTTCTAGGCAATTCTCTCCACTCCCATTGTGAGTATGTCTGAAATAATGCTACCTATTCTATGTATACAATATATATTTAATATATAAGTAACCGCACCACGTTACATGACCACGACACCAGTTTAATGCACATTATTATGTACAGTAGTTAAGTAGTTCTGGAGGATGCCTCTCTACAGCCTAGGTGAACAGTGTGGTTTGGAACCATTGGGAAGGGACACAGAGAAGCCGGCTGGGAGACAGCCCGTGCGTGGGCAGGACGAGCATGCGGGTGTGAAATGTGGGCACACGCCTCCCACACATACCCACAGCAGAGTATCCCTGTTTACTGGCTGGAAGACGACAAATCACACATATGGAAGGATCCCGTACATGAGGAGAGCCATGATAGCAGCACTGAACAACCCAGCCACCGGGACAGTTACAAACCAGGCCACAAAGATGTTCCTGAAGAGGCGCCAGTCCACGGCCTTCCGGGAGCGGATCCAGCCCACGGCCACCACGGAGCCCACCTGGAGGAGCACAGACAGAATGTGAAAATGGAGGCCCACAAATTTAAACAGGAGACACCGGGGTACATTCAACCAACGCAAACTGCCCATCTTAGAAATAAACTACATAAAATTACCAATTCCTTCCCCTAAATTTGCTAAAAGTTTTAAAAATACTTTATATTTTAGGTATAGTTATTTTAGGATTATTCTACGCAGTATACATTTCTGATGTGCTTTTCCCCCTATATTCTGTTCATCTGCGTGGAACTTTAACCAATTAAATGGTTTTCTCGCACCTTATAAACTAACTACAAACGCCCTTGTTCTACACATTCCCCCGTGTAGGATGCTGCTCACTACAATAGTGAACCTGCTTGATTACATCATGAAATGGCAGGAATGTATCCTTCTAGAATAACAGCATTATGAAATGTTGGAGCTGGAGAAGACCTTTGAGAATATCCAATCCATGTCGTCGCTCGTTTTACAGAGGACAAGCCAGACCCCCGGAGGGCTGGGGCACGGGGAGACACTAAATTACGGCGGATCGAGGACTAGAACCCAGGCCTCTTCCTGTGAAACTGGGCTCCACCATCTCAAACTGCCTTGCAGTCCTTGTACTTTAGCTCATTAAAAAAATTAATGAAGCATAAATATTATTGGATCTAAACTGTCATATGCCTCACAAAATGACAGAGATACTTGAAAATCAGAATATTAATACTGATTTAAATATTTTTCTAAACACAGCACATACTATGGTTTGTTGAAAGTTTGAAAAAGGAAAAAAGACACAATGTTAAGTATTCTAAAAATGAAACTCATAAGAAAGTACAATGCCTGTAACCCGCATGCCTCACTCAGGCTATGGGGAAGCTCAGAGAGTTCAACGGGGTGCCCTTGACCACCTGGGGGGGGATCTTGAAGATCTCCATAAAGCAGGCTTTGTCTCTACCGACCCTCAGACACTGCAGAATCAGCAGTGGCCACGCAGGTTCAAATAGCAAGCGGGGTCTAATCGCAGAAAACATAAAACCCAACACTGCAAATTGTTTATGGAAGCAAACTGGGACACCAAAAACAGCAGCATATTTAAAGGCAGTTAACCTGACATTTTGTCACCCCAAGCCATGATTAACCAGCAACTCCGGACAGCTCCAGGACAGCAACTGACAACCCACAGGAGGGGTCATCCACACGATGATTGTATGCGAACTCTTGGCTATAACCAGTCTACTGGATGAAGCTGAACTGCTGAGCCAATCCTAGACCGCGCCAGACAATGGAGCTATTCCCACGCATAAGGATTAGCTACGTTCTGCTGGTCCAGATGCGGTCAAATCCACAAACACCAGCTCCTGGGATTAAATTCTCCCTGTTACTCACTGTCCCTCCAGAGCACGTCCCTCAGCAGTGCCCTCTCACGTGCCCTGGATTCCTTAGGGAGAATGCGCTCAAGTTTCAATATTTATCCACGCCCTCTTCCTTTCTTAAAACACTTTTTTAAAAAAAGGATAAAAGTAATAATAATATTATAGCAAGTTTCTATAATAGGAGGGTTGAACAATTACCCAGAACCCCACTTTTGTCATATTTATATATTCCTTTCTAGTATTTTTATAAATACACCTTTATTTGTAAATAATAGGGTACACTACCATTTCCCTTCTTTAAAAAGAATTAACATTATACTGTTTATAAACATTTTCCCATAGTGCTCACAGCCTCTAGGATTATCACGTAAAATGGTACACCCTTTCGGTGAATGTACCTTAATTTAACCATTTCCAATTTGCTTCCAATTTTTCCCTATTAGAAATAGTTTTGTGACTAATTCATTCATTCATATAGCTTATATTTAGGCTTTAAAAAATATTCCCTGAAATGGATCATTAGTTAAAGGGGGCATTTAAAAAATATCTTTCCACGTGGTAAGGTCAGTTCCTCCTCATCACTTTTCTTTTTAGATCATTTTATGTCCTTGCTAATTTAACCTCCCAAATCAAATCTCATCTTGTAAAGTTATAAGAAAAGTTCAGTTGGGGTTGTATTTGAGGAGAACTGACCTTTTTACAAAATTCAGTTCCCCATCCAATAACAGCACATCTCATACTCAGGTTTCCTTTTACCTCTGAGAAAAGTTGTGTGCCTTTTTCCAATATATCACTCACATTTATTAGGATTATTCTGAAAGACCTTTTATTTTTGCTGCAATTCTGAGGTGTTCTTGTTTTTATTACATTTTCTTACTGGCTATTGCTGACAGACAAGCTCTAGATTTTTGTATTTTTATCATGGACTTGGTTATTTTTACTGAGTTCTAGTAGTGTTTTAGAAATACCTTCTGAATTTTGTCAAATGTCTTTTTTGCACATATCTCAATAGATGTTCATTTGTTGTTTTTTTTTTATTTTAAGAATTTTTTTTTTTTTTAAGATTTTATTATTTCCTTTTTCTCCCCAACACCCCCTGGTACATAGTTGTATATTCTTCGTTGTGGGTCCTTCTAGTTGTAGCATGTGGGACACTGCCTCAGCGTGGTTTGATGAGCGGTGCCATGTCCGCGCCCAGGATTCGAACCAACGAAACACTGGGCCGCCTGCAGCGGAGCGCACGAACTTAACCACTCGGCCATGGGGCCAGCCCCTCATTTGTTGTTTTTTGATGGTTGTTTTTAAAGGACTGCTACGCCATATTATATTGAAGATGTCTGCATACCTTCTTGGGATTCACTCAACACCTGTTGGGCACCTGACGAGCCAGCCCTGTGTAGGTGCTGGCGGAGGAGAAGACCAGCCTTCAGAGCCTGCTTTCCAGTAATCCAGAGGATCAACTTGGCCCTGCTGAAATGTTCTTTTACCATACTGTTGATGTCATGTATTAGCATCTTAAAGTTTTCTGTCAATATTCACATGTACATATAGCTTTCACGGTGATGGTTTAAAGCAGGTTTTGGTATGAGGGTTATGTAGTACACGCTTTATAGAAGAAATTGGGAAGTTGCCGGTTTTATTTTTTCTCCGACATTCTGGAAAGTTTCTGCCATGTAAGAATTATCTATTCTTTTAAAATGGAAAAGATGAACTAATGAATCCACCCAGAAGTGGAGAGAGCCTGTCCCCTTCCTTTTGGCTTTTTCAGGTGAGAAGAATCGTTCCGGAGAACTTCCTTAATTTCTTCCTATTCCTCTGGTCTGGTTTTCCACTTTTTGTGTCAATATTTATTTGTCAGGTATATTTTTGCAGAAAGTAATTCATTTTATGGATGTTTTCAAATCCTTAGCATACAGCTGTATGGTCTCTTTTAGAAATTAAAAATTCTCCTTTATATCTGTTGTTATGATGTCTTTCTCCTTCTAACTTAATTCCCCTCCCTGCTTTTTCGTACTGTGATTTGATATTATTTTATTAGTAACTACTTTCTTCTCTCCCTCCCCTTCACTATTTTTTTTTAAATTTATCTTGCTTTTATACTTATATCCTTCTTACTATTGCCTCAGAATTTTTATTGTTCTGCACTTTTATAAAATCCTACTTTGAATGTCTGGCTCTTTTTTTTTTTTTTTTTTTGCTGAGGAAGATTTGCCCTGAGCTAACATCTGTTGCCATGCTTCTTCTATTTTATATATGGGATCCTGCCACAGCATGGCTTGACGAGCAGTGTGTGGGTCTGTGCCCGGGATCCATACCTGCAAACCCCAGGCTGCTGAAGCAGAGCACACAAACTAAACCGCTATGCCACCAGGTCGGCCCCAAATGTCTAGTTCTTCTATTTTCCCTTTGCTCAATTAAACCATTTAAAGATACGAATTTCATCTGAGAATAACTCTGGTTGCCATAGCTTTTGCAATGTACACACACACGCACACTTACACACACACAGTTTGTTTTTTTTTTCCTAAGAAAGCTACCATTGTAATTCTTAGACTATTTGATTCAACTGTTACATAAAAGGAGAATTTAAAAATGTCCAAGGGGACACAGCTCCTTTTTCCAACACATAATAAATTTCTAGCTTAATTGTGATTAGAGATTATGTTTAGTACAACTTCTGTTCTTTTTTGCCCTAAAGATTGGCACCTGAGCTAAAATCTGTCACCAATCTTCTTTTTTCCCCCTTCTTCTCCCCAAAGCCCCCCCCTTCCCCCCCCCACCCAGTACATAGTTGTGTATATTCTAGTTGTAGGTTATTCTGGCTCTGCTATGTGGGATGCCGTCTCACACGGCTTGACGAGCAGTGCTGGGTCCGGGTCCGGGGCCAGGATCCAAACTGGCAAAACCCCGGGCCACCAGCGGAGCGTGAAAACTTAGCCACTCGGCCACAGGGCCAGCCCCTGTTCTTATTTTATAGTGAATTTTATCGTGGCTTTCTGAATTTATGATTTTTATAAATGTTTCATGATACTTGACAAGAAGGCATATGATCAGTAGTGTAAAATTTGATGTACCTTTATTAATTATAGTGCTCTAAATCTATTGTTCAATACTTTACTGATTATGTCTTTGGCTGATATAAAATGGTATTCTTAGCTGTGTTCTGAACTTCCCTCCTAATAAGTTGAGTGTGTTTCCAGCTGAAGGCCACCATCAGGCACTAACAGCAATGGAATCATTGAGAAGTAGGGGACCCAGGGTGCAAGAATTGGAAAACTAAACTAGAAATTATCATCCTAAATTTTTAAATCGGTAGTATTTCCTGTAAGCTGTTCCAAATCCAAAGGCTAGCTGAATAATCATCAAAGTCATCAACAGAGATGAATAACGTAATTCACAAAAAAGAATGATCCTAAACCACCTCAACGCGGAACTAAAGCATTTTGGATAACACCAGCGTGAATTCCTATTAGAGAGCTCACAGGTGAGTGTCTGGGTTCCATAGTGGCCCCGTCTGTCGTAAGTTAGGGCTGCAGACCAACACCGATTCAGTTCACAGAAGGGAAGAACAATTAACAAATTACTGAAACGTACATCTGTGGATGCTTTTATTTTAAAGACTCATTTCTGTTCCTTTAATCAAGGCTTTTGACTTGAACCACAGGTATTATCCCAGGAAAATATCTAGTGGCTGTGCCCTCTGACATGAAACAGAAAAATGTGTAACACTGAAATGCTTAGAGAAAGTGAAACTTATAATCAAAGGAGACTGTTTCATGCATGCCTTCTGGAATAAAATGTGACAACATTTTTCTAATTATTCTCTTCCAAATTATACATTCAGCTAACACTTATAAACGTTTTAAACAGGATACCATAAAATTTAAACTATGCACTTCGCTATATACACTTAGAAGGAAGCACGAATAAACGAAATCTACGCAGATAAACTCAAAAGCTCATTTTCTTTTTCTTTTTTGAGGAAGATTAGCCCTGAGCTAACATCTGCTGTGAATCCTCCTCTTTTTGCTGAAGAAGACTGGCCCTGAGCTAACATCCGTGCCCATCTTCCTCTACTTTATAGGTGGGACACCTACCACAGCATGGCTTGCCAGGTGGTGCCATGTCCACAGCCGGGATCCGAACTGGTGAACTCTGGGCCACCCAAGCGGAACGTGCACACTTAACGGCTGCACCACTGGGCCGGTCCTCAAAAGCTCATTTTCAATAATAGTTTCCATCTTTCTTCCTGCCAATTTCCCAACTTTTGCCCACCTTTTGACAGAGGTGGCTCTAAGCACAAAACCTAACATGTGGATGGGAGAGGAAGCAAAGAGCTGGAGAAGTCCAACACAGGCTATGATTATTCCTGAAAATACGACGGGGTTCAGTGACGATTTCATGTGGACACCAACACGTTTGAATGCTTCCACACTCGCGGTTTTGCTCGCACAGGGCCTCATTCTTAACGCCATCCTATGTCTCATATTTCATCCGACATTTGCCATTTGGGGACTGTCGCATACAGAAGAAACATGTGGTCTGAGAGAATAAGGCTGATGGGGTGACAGCAACTGTGAAGCCCACTTGGCCTTCCTGTGATCTGCACTTTGCTCTCCCGTCCACTGCCAGCTCTTGAGAGCCAGGACTCGGTCCGTTAGCTGCTGCAGTGACCAGCTCTTGGCTCTGGCCACAGTCGACGACAGTGGACAAACCCACTAGTATCCAAGTGGAGCCCTGTCTCACGTCTGCCTGAGGGACGAAATCCACCGTGGTCCCACGTCAAGGAGACTTGTTTTAAGCGCCAATGAGCTATCCTAACACTACTTATCGTCAGCTCTAAGGAAACAGAACCCACCGTACGATCTGTATAGACATTTTAGGATGATGATAACACACATTTATTCAGTAAGGTCCTGTATGAACTGGACATAAATCTGTAGTAGTACCCCCTTATTATACTATAAATATAAATATCGGGGAAATGCCATTTAAAGATAATATCAAACTAGTATTTTACAGACATTTTATACTTTTCATCTACTTCTATTACGTATTAAAGAGTTTAGTGTTATTAGCAACCTTAGCATTGTGAGTTATAACACTTCACACGTTAGTATAGGTTAGATTGCCAACATAGTTAAGTAACAAGAACCTAGAAAACCAAACTTGTGCTGTGTCTTCCAGAGACCGTTCAAGTGGTGTGTAGGAGTGTGCCTCACTGGGCTTGCTCACGTGCAGGGTTAACCACTAAGAAGGTGAAGGAACGTGCATTTAAACCCAGCCCAGAAGCCTCCTGGCGCCTCGAGCAGGGCTGCAGGCGGGCGCGGGCGGGAGGGCCGCGCGCTCCGCGGGCTTCCACGCGGGAAACACTCCACGGCCGCGCGCTCTCGCGCAAGTCCGAAACGCCCCGAGTCAGACGCCGACCGCGAACCACCGGGAGGGGCGCCCGCGGGCCGCGGGCCTCTGGGCGACGCGCACGGCCGTGCCGGCCCCTCCGCTCGGCCCCTCCCCGGCCGTGTGATCTGGAGCAGGGGACTCGGCCTTTCTGGGCTTCGCTCTCCTCCTCGGTCCAGCACGGAGCGCCCGCACCCACCTCAGAGGCCCCTGCGAGGCCGAGAGGAGCCGCGGCGGCGGCGCCGGGACCGCGGGCCGGGACGAGCAGGCGCGCGCCCGCGTGGGGCTGCGCCGGGGCCCCGCCTCCGGAAGCCGCCGTGTTCCACCGCAAACGGGGCTCACGCCGCCCCCCTGCCAGGGCTGCGTGGGGACGGCACGCCTGCTGTGCGTGCGAGCACTGCACCCCGCGCCGGGCGCTCTGCAGACAGAGGGGAAGGGACTTTGATAAGGAAGGTTCGTCGGAATTCAGGTTCTCCTATACTGTCCTGTAGGCTTATCTTCTACGGCAAAAAAGGAAAACACAGAAAAACCCCTTTCCCACGAGGCTGCTTCCCCAGCGCAGAGCTCCCGCGCCGTCAGCCGCCGCTGAGCGGCCGTGCCCGTTTGGTGGGACCCGTTTCTAACGTGGCCGGGGGTGAGCCGTGGGTAGTGTAGATGGCCATCCCCGTGCGGTCGCTGCGGCCGCCCTGGGGCCTGCGGCTGTCCCCCCGCAGCAGGTGCAGCGGAGTTCTTCTTGCATCACGCGAACACACGGACCTAGGAGAAATCTGGAAGCGCCGTCTGCCTTGTTGAGGTGAGTGGACGTGTGTGTACAGGAGGCCCGCTGAGGGTGTCCAAGAACTCGCTCCGGGACTGGGCAGCCCGGGTCTCAGACCTGCGTGCTAGGCCGGCCTGCCCCCTGGGTGACCTCGGATAATTGCGTCCGTCACGAGCCTCTTCCTCTTCCTGGATTGTCGAGGCTCCTCGCCCCAGCGTCCCCCACCGCGACCAGGAGCTCCGTCTCGCCCAGCCCCGAGGAGCTGGCGTTCCCCCCACTGGGAACTCACTCTAAGGCAGCGTGGGCCTGTGACCGTCATCTCAGGAAAAAGGGGAACCAGCTGTCTGAGAATCCCACTGAGAGGATTCCTGCTCTCTCGGCGCCGCCGTCCACTCCCGGGCCCCTCCGAGCCCGGAGCGTGGTTAGGGACGCGACTTCGCCGGCAAACTCGCCGTGGGAACGACGAGCCACGGGCGCAGGGAGGGTGCCGCGCACGCGTTCGACGGGGCGTCCGGCCGCGCATGCGCCGCAGCAGCACGGTCCGCTCCGCCGCAGGAGGCCCGCGCGCACACGCGGCTGGCTCGCAGAGCCCGCGCCCCGGGCCGGGCCCCACAGCCGCGGGCACAGCCCTGCCGCTCAGCCCCGGACGGCAGCGACCCCGCGGCCCGGCGGGCGCCCGCTCGGCCTACCTTGCAGTGTGTGGTGCTGACGGGAAGTCCCACGTTGGAGGCGATCACCACCGTGAATGCCGAGGCCAGCTCAATGGTGAAGCCGCTGCGGAGGGGACAAGGGACACATCACAGGGGCTGTTTGGGGGGCCTCACCCACACCCCGGGGGCCCAGAGTCTCGCCGGAACGCTCTTTGGGCGGCCCGTGGACTGCTGACTGGGCCAGATGACATTCACAGAGCAGGACCTGTGCACAATGGCCACGTTCACACGAAGAGTGCATGACACTGCTTACAGGCCACGCAGCCTGGTCCTCTGATACGTTCTCCAAAACCACACGCCGCAGTAACTGGGTCAGCAATGCTTGCGGTGTGAAAATGGTCAGTCATTTCTCAAGTGGCATAGGAAAAATGATGCTCTTATTTTTAGAATGTGTACTTATTATGAAAAGTGAATTTTTTCTCAGATTACTAACTTCTCTTCAAATCAATCTTAGAAACTTTCACTAAAATGAATTTCAGGGGGAAACTTTCGAGGAGGAGATTTCTTGCACTAGGTAGTTCTCAGTTTTAGGTGTATCCTGAAAGTGCTCTTCTAAGTTTATTTAACCCCTAACACATCTGACGCCTACACAACAGAAGGACCACAGACAAACCCTGCGGGAGAAGCTCCCAGACGCCCCCAGGCCGCCGAGGCGCCCCCCCGGCAGAGCTGGGGAGGGTCCCCAGGGGTCCTCAGGAGGGTGGCGGGGGAGAAGGGTGGCTGGTGTGGCCGAGGATGTTGGGGCGGCCGGCCCTGCGCCGCGGGGCAGTTTGCGTGGGCTCCCTCCCACTCGCTCCTGGATGTCACGCGGGAAAGACCGCCAGTGGGAGCGCACGGGGGCTGCAGAGTGCCCGCTGCTGTTCCTCCTCCCTCCTGCTCTGCTTCAGCTTCTCCTCCCTTCCACCCTCCCACCCCTCTCGTCTTTCCTCCCTCATCTCAGTGCCACTGTGCGTGGGGGCCGAGGAGTGCACAAGGGCGGGCGGTGACGGGGGGGAGGGGTGCAGCAAAGGTCGGGGGCATGCTCCCCTCGGCCCCTCTCCTCCCTGTGGCTGCGGAGCGGCCGTGCCGGGCGTCGGGGCAGAAGAGCGGCGAGGGCTTTGCAGCCGCGGGACGAGCCCGCGGCCGGCCCGCACCCTGGCTTACCTGGAAGGGGTGATGGGAGTGAGGTCTCTCCCCATGGTCTGGATAACTCTTCGCCCCCAGATCCAGAGACCCGTACAAATGCCAACGCCTCCATAGAACAGCAGCCAGACGGGAGTAGCGGCCTCCTGCAGGACTGCGCCGTGCTCGTAAATCAGCCACAGGGCCACCAGGGGGCCAATGGCATTACTGGGAGGAGGAGAGGTTAGTTACGCAGACGTCCTGTGCGCACACAAACGGCCCTGTGCACAGCGTGCAGTACTTCTCAGGCCTGAGGACAGCCCGTTTTACGGTGGCTTGCCTACAGAATCTAGTGGTGATAAAAATGATCTAATATTTTTTGAGGTAAAAACAGGTAATAGAAAACTTACCACCTTAATGAGTTTTAAGTGTACAGTTCAGCATGTTAAATATCTGCACACTGCTGTGAAACAGATCTCCAGCACGTTTCATCTTGCACATCTGAAACTCTATACCTAAGCAACAGTAATCCCCTTTGCCCCCTGCCCCCAGTAACCGCCATCTTACTTCCTGTGTCTATGAATGTGACTCCTCTAGGGACCTCATCTAAGTGGAATCATACAGTGTTTGTCTTTGTGACTGGCTGATTTCACTTAGCATAATACCCTCAAGATTCATGCATGTTGTAGCATAAATCAGAATTTCCTTTCTTTTTAAGGCTGAATGTTCCACTGTATATTTATATATACCACACTTTCTTTATCCACTTATCAGATGATGGACATTTGGGTTGCTCCCACCTCCTGGCTATAGTGAATAATGCTGCAAGGGCCCCGGGCGGACAAATGTCTCGAGACCCTGCTTTCAATTTTTTTGGGTAAATACGCGGAAGGGGCATCACTGGGTCACACGGCAGTTCTATTTTGAATCTTCTGAGGACCCTCCAGACTGTTTCCCATAGCAGCTGCACTATTTTGCATTCTCATCAACAGTGCACAAGGATTCCAATTTCTTCATATCCTTGCCAACACTTGTTATTTTCTGGGTTTTTTTTTTTTTTTTTTGAAATAGTAGCCATCTTAATGGGCTTGTGATTTACCAATTATCTTCGAAGTACTGAAAAATCACAAGAAGTGGACACAAAAAACAAGTTCTTTTTTCTCTTCCATTTTTTCTCTATTTCGTTCTATTTTCACCACCAGCACTGCTGCTAATATTAGCTACCAATTTTGGGCCGCCGCGTCAGGCTCCACACTATGGGATCACAAACATTATTACTAACCATTAGTTCTCACACCCATCCTGCAAACTAGGTGTTGCACCTCTCATTTTACTGATGAGGAAACTCATGCTAAAGTCACGTCCCCAGCAGCAGGCAGGACTGGGATGGGAGCTCAAGACTCACTCAGGCGCTCATGCCCTTTCCCCTAGACCTGCCACTCAGGTTCTTAGTAGCCACACACTGACTTTTGTTTTTAATGCTACAGCTTTCAAAAACAATTTTTAGGGCCTGGCCCCATGGCCGAGTGGTTAAGGTTCCATGTGCTCTGCTTCAGTGGCCTGGGTTCACAGGTTTGGATCCCGGGTGCAGACCTACTCCACTCACCAGCCACGCTGTGGAGGTGTCCCACATACAAAAAAATGGAGGAAGATTGGCATAGATATTAACTCAGGGCTAATCTTCCTCAAGCAAAAAAAGGAGGAGGATTGGCAGTGGATGTTAGCTCAAGGCAAATCTTCCTCAGCAAAAAAACTTAAGACCATTTCTTTAGAGCAGTTTAAGGTTCACAGTGAAACTAAGGAGAAGGTACAGAGATTTTCCATATACCCTCTGCCCCACACATGCATAACCTCCTCACCATCAACATCCCCCACCAGGGAAGAACATCTGTTACAACTGATGAACCTACACTGACACAAGAGAACCATCCAAAGTCCACAGTTTGCATTAGGGTTCACTCTTGGTGTTGTCCAGTCTCTGGGTTTAGACAAATGTACAATGACACGTAGCCATCATTATAGTATCATATATAATAGTTTCATTGCCCTAAAAAGCCCTCTGTGCTCCACCTGTTCATCCATCCCCCCACCTAACCCCCTGATGTTTTTCCTGTCTCCGTTGTTTTGCCTTTTCCAGAACGTCATATAGTTGGAATCATACGGTATTCTCAGATTGGCTGCTTTCACATAGCAATATGCATTTAAGTTTCCTGCATGTCTTTTCATGGCTTAACAGCTCATTTCTTTTCAGCACTGAATAATGTTCCATTGTCTGGATGGCCCAGTTTTACCCACTCACCTACTGAAGGACATCTTGGTTGCTTCCAGCTTTTGGCAATTATAAACAAAGCTGCTATATACATCCATGTGCAGGTTTTCGTGTGGACGTAAGTTTTTAACTCCTTTGGGTAAATACCAAGGAGTGTGACTGCTGGATCACATGGTAAGACTATGTTTAGTTTTTTTTTAACTTGTTATTGAGATTATGATAGTTTACAACCTTGTGAAGTTTCAGTTGTACATTATTGTCAGCCGTGTTGTAGGTGCACCCCTTCCCCCTCCGCGCCCTCCCCCACCCCCTTTCCCCTGGTAGCCACTAATCTGTTCTCTGTCTACATGTTCAGCTGCCATATATGAGTGGAGTCATACAGAAATTGTCTTTCTCTATCTGGCTTATTTCACTTAACAGAATACCCTCCAGGTCCATGCATGTTGTTGTGAATAGGACGATTTTATCCTTTTGTATGGCTGAGAAGACTAGGTTTAGTTTTTAATCAACTGCCAAACTGTCTTCCGAGGTGGCTGTCCCCTTTTGCGTCCCCACCGGCCGTGAGCGGGAGTTGTTGCTGCACGTCCTCGTCCGCATTTGGCGTTGCTAGTGTCCCGGATTTTGGCCATTCCAACAGTTGTGTAATAGGATCTCATTGCTGTTTTAATTTGCATTTCCCTGATGACATATGACGTAGAGCATCTTTTCATGTGCCTATTTGCCATCTGTATATTTTGTTTGGTGAGGTGTCTGGTAAGATCTTTGGCCCATTTTTTAATTGGGTTGTTTGTTTTCTTATTGTTGAGTTTTAAGAGTTCTTTGTATAATAATCTTTTATCAGATGTGTCTTCTGCAAATATTTTCTCTAAGTTTGCGGCTTATATTCTCATTCTCTTGACATTGTCTTTTGCCCTGCAGAAGTTTTCAATTTTAATGAAGTCTTTCATGGATTGTGCCTCTGGTGTTGCATCTAAAATGTCATCACCATACTCAGGTCATCTAGGTTTCCTCTTGTGTTATCTGCAGGAGTTTTATAGTTTTGCACTTTACATTTATGTTTGTGATCCATTTTGCACTGATGTTTGTGACAAGTGTAAGGTCTGTGTTCCGATCCATTTTTTCGCATGTGGATGTCCAGTTGTTCCAGCACCACTGAAGAGACTCTTTGCTCCTTTGTATTATCTTTGCTCCTGTGTCAAAGATCAGTTGACTATATCTACGTGAGTCTACTTCTGGGCTCTCTGTTCCGTTTCATTGATTTGTCTGTTCTTTCACCAATACCACACTGTCTTGATTACGGTGGCTTTATAGTTAGTCTTGCAGTTGGGTAGTGTCAGTGCTCCAATTTCCTCCTTCAGTACTGTGTTGGCTATTCTGGGTCTTTTGCCTCTGCACATAAACTTTGGAATCAGTTTGTCGATATCCACAAAATAACTTGCTGGGATTTTGATTGGGATTGCATTGAATTTATAGATAAAGATGGGAAGAACTGACATCTTGATAACATTGAGTCTTCTTATCCTTGAACATGGAAAATCTCTCCGTTTATTTAGTTGTTTGATTTCATTCATCAGTTTTGTATTTTTCTGCATATAGATCTTGTATATATTTTATTAGATTTCTACCCAAGTATTTCATTTTCAGGGGTGCTAATGTGAATGGTGTTGTGTTTTTAATTTCAAATTCCATCTGTTCTTTGCTGGTATGTATGGAAAACAATTGGCTTTTGCACGTTAACCTTGTATCCTGCAACTTTGCTATAACTGCTTATTAGTTCCAGGAGGTTTTTTAAAATTGATTCTTTCAGATTTTCTACATAGACGATCACATCATCTGTGAACAAAGACAGTTTTATGTCCTCCTTCCCAATACACCTTTACACCAATACACCTTTACACCAATGCACCTTTAACTTCCAGCGCGGTGTTGAAAAGGAATGGTGAAAGGGGACATCCTTGCCTTGCTCCTAATCTCAGTGGGAAAGCTTTGAGTTTCCCACCATTAAGTCTGATGTCAGCTATAGGTTTTTTTGTAGGTTTCTTGATCAAGTTGAGGAAGTTCTCTATTCCTAGTTTACTGAGAGTTTTTTATCATAATAGGTGGTAGACTTTAAATGCTTTTTCTGCATGTATTGACATGATCATGTGATTTTTATTTTTTAGCCTGTTGACGTGATGGATTACACTAATTGATTTTTGAACATTAAATCAGCCTTGCATACCTGCGATAAACCTCACTTGGTCATGGTGTATAATTCTGTTTATACATTGTCGGATTCAATTTACTAATATTTTGTTGAGGATTTTTGCATCTATGTTCATGAGAGATATTGGTCTGCAGTTTTCTTTTCTTGTATTGTCTTTCCCTGGTTTTGGTAAAAGGGTAATTCTGGCCTCATAGAATGAGTTAGGAAGTATTCCCTCTATTTCTATTCTCTGAAAGAGACTATAGAGTATTGGTATATTTTCTTCCTTAAATGTTTGGTAGAATTCACCAGTGAACCCATCTGGGCCCAATGCTTCTGTTTTGGAAGGTTATTAATTATTGATTCAATTTCTTTAATAGATGTAGGCCTATCAGATAGTCTGTTTCTTCTTGTGTAAGTTTTGGCATATTGTGTCTTTCAAGGAATTGGTCCATTTCATCCAGGTTATCAAACTTGTGGGCATAGAGTTGTTCACAGTATTGCTTTATTATCTTGTTAATGTCCATGGGGTCTATAGTGATGTCTCCTCTTTCATTTCTGATACTAGTACTTTCTGTCCTCTCTTTTTTTCTTAGATAGTCTGGCTAGAAGTTATTAACTTTATTGATGTTTTCAAAAACCCACTTTTAGTTTCAATGATTTTCTCTATTGACTTTAATTTCATTGATGTCTACTCTAATTCTTATTTCTTCTGCTTACTTTGCATTTAATTTGCTCTTGTTTTTTGAGCTTTCTAGGGTGGAAAACTTAGAT